ATAAGTGACTTGCTCAAAGGTCACACAGGTAGGCATTGAGAAAGCCCCTATTTGAGCCTCTGTCTGTCTGACCCAAAGCTCAGGATATTTGGAATGTGAGAGCAAAGGGGCTGCTGGGAACATTGCCCAGGAGAGAGGGGGCAGTGCTGACCTCAACTCCCAAGTTCCTGATAAGGAAGCAGCAGCCCCGCACAAGGAAGGCCCCCAAAGCTGGAATTCCTTTGTTTAGGATTTCTAAAGGGAAGTCCTACTTTACACAGCTGCTGTCCACCTTCTGGAATTTGTTACTCCCAAGGGGTCTTCACAAACTGAAAATAGAAAGGAGTTCAGAAAGAGCCGCACAAAAGTAATGGATGGCAGGTCCCCCGAGGTAATTGAAGGAAACGAGAGATGCTGGGAGTTTGAGCCTAGACCCTGGAGGTCTGCATCATGCTGGGGACTGCCCTGGTCTCCCCAGATGGTTCCCAGGTGCCACAGGCGGGAAAGCATGTGGGAGGTGCTGGATCTCCAAGTTCTAGCCTACTTGCTGTGGGATTGGGGCGGCCTCCATTCTTCCTTCCAGCTCCCACTGGGGCCCCATTGTTGGGCAGTTGGGGGACTGGGTGTCTTGATTTGGGGACTCGCCTGCCCAGGATGGACAATTTGCATTTGTTCTGGTATTTCCTTCCTTCCTTTTTTTTTTTTTTGGTACCAGGGATTGAACTCAGAGGCACTTGACCACTGAGCCACATCCCCAGCCCCATTTTGTATTTTATTTAGAGACAGGGTCTCACAGAGTTGCTTAGCGCCCCACTTTTGCTGAGGCTGGCTTTTTTTTTTTTTAATATTTTTATTAGTTGTTGATGGACCTTTATTTTATTTACTCATTTATATGTGGTGCTGAGAATTGAGCCCAGTGCATCACGCATGCTAGTCAAGCGCTCTACCACTGAGCCCCAGCCCCAGCCTGAGGCTTGCTTTGAACCTGTGATCCTCCTGCCTCAGCCTCCTGAGCCGCTGGAATTACAGGTATATATATATATATATATATATGCGCACCCGGCTGTTCTGGTATTTTCTTTGGAGCCTCCTCTTTTTTTCCCAGAAACTTTTTTTTGCAAGGTCTTTATTGCTTCCTAATTTTTCACACAGCTTCCATTTATTTGTCTTATTAAGTACTTTTCTGATTCAGGTTAGCCTAGGGTGGGAAAGGCCTTCATGTCCTCTCTTCCCTGGACACGCAACTCTGGGTGACTCCCTCCCACCAGCAGCCTCCACTCTCCTTTGGGGATTATATTTCCCTTCATCTGTTGTCTGGGCTTCCTTGCCTCCCCTTCCCTCAGTACTTCCGCTTCTTTCTTCTTTGCTCCCCAACACACACTTGTGCCCCACCCCATCCCTTCTACCTCTGTTCTTTCTCTCAGGCTGCCTACTCCCATGGCTTCCCCTTTCCACTTGGCCAGTTTTTTCCTCCTCCTCCTCCTCCTCCTCCTCCTCCTCCCTGAGGCTCCTTTTCTCTCCATATCCTTAACTCCCTCTCCCCTCCCCCCACAGCACCCTCACACTCCCAAGTCACCCTCAGAGCACCAATCTCTCTCTCAGCCCACCCCTCGCTCCCTGAAATATCTCTAGGCCCAAATTGTGCTGTAGCATTCTCAGGGGATATTTCATTTCCCCCCAGCCCTGCAAAGTCCTCTTTAAATGGCTGAATCCCTGAAAACTCCCTCCCTCAAAGCCAACATCAGTGAGGACAGGCAGGGACAGGTCCCTAGTATGACAACAAGCTTCTGGCCTACTGTGGGCAGGACAGAGGCCTGGACAGGGACAGCAGCCCCCTCTTCCTCGCTGCAGACTCCCCAGATAGAGGTCTTATGGCCACCCAGGGGCAAGTGGCTGGGGAAGTGGGTGATACTCAGACCCTCTCCATAAGCAGCAGCAGCTCTGGGCCCTCTGGACAGGCCTGACTTCTGCCTGGGCCTTTTCTGCTGCAGCTTCCTGGCTTAGGACAGAGGTCCAAACGCTCAGACACCCCCATGTATGTACCTCTCTACACCCTTATACCTCACATCAGGGCTTCTCAAACCTGGGTGCACCAGAATCACCTAGAAAGCTTGAGAGTGAGAGGCTCCACCCACTGGAGTTTCGGATCTTCTAGGTCTGGAGAGGGCACGAGAATGCATTGCACTCTGGACACAGGCCCACACTGCGGTGGCTGCTGGTCCCAGAACCCAGCCCTGAGAATCACTGCTCCATAGATACCCACCTGAGCATGCACTGCCGGGGACACCTTCCTGCACAGACTTTGCAAAACAGCAAGGGAAGCCAGGTAGCTGGGGAGAACTGAAAGCTCTGAACTGAGATGGGGAATTCCTTGGCCTAAGAACACAGACCCTGGCCTCGTTCTTTCTCGCTCTGACTCTGCTATTTCTCTTTCCTTGCCACGTTTCCACACACTTCCTCAGTCCTCACCCTCCCTGAATTCTCCAGTGGGCCTCCCAGCTCCGCTGCACACATGAGCTCATCCATCTCTATCACCCTGTGAGTGAGCGGTGGGCAGGTGAGAGAGGAAGATTACAGGAGAACGGGCGCTGTTCCCTGCTAACAGGGCACTCGCTCACCGCGAGAACGCAGCCAATTATTCCCCGTGTTCTGGGGGATAATCATTAATGCCACAGGAAATTCTAAACAAGTGATTAAATCATTACTGGGGAAGGCACAGGGAGCCTGTGCCACCATTAAGCTTCCCTTATACTGTTTGGTCTCAGGAAAGTGTACCTGGGAAGGGAGAGAGGCACATTCCCGGCCCTGCAGCATCAGCAGCAGCCAGTCTAGCAGGGGTTGTCCCCAGAACCACCTTCCCACTGAGCTGCACACCCAGCTACGGCCCTCAGAGCCCCTCCTGAGCCAGCCACAAAGAGGGCTCTGTTCCAATAACCCTTCATGATAACATGCCACTTGATGAATCCAGGCATTAAATTGACAAAGATTTATTAAATACCTACTATGTGCCTGGTGGTATTCTAGGGAGTGGGATTAAAATGTGAATAAGACAGACAGGTCCCTGTCCTAGTGGAGAAGGCAGATGACCCACATCATCAATAGGGCAAATGCTCAAGAGGAAATAAACAGGACACTGGCTGTTTTGAGCCGATATCTACTGGGAGGAGCTTGGAGGCCCCCCCATTCTCTGACAGCCCTCCACGGGGCTGACCAGCAGTTGATACCCATCTCTCGGGCCTGCAGATCATGTTTTAAGTGAACATCAGCAATGTCAGAGCAGCCCCCTTCCTACCCCGAGTCCTCACCATGCTATCTTTGGAAAGATAATGAATGTCTCCAGCAGCCACTGTTTTTTAAGCGCGGTGTGTCAGGCATTGCACTGGGCAATTTATGATCATGACATCATTCCATCCACAGAACAATCAAAATGTTGTGGACTAGGTGTTTCTTAGTCCCCATTTTACAGACAAGCGAATGGAGACCCAGAACATTGGAGCCATGTGGCCAAGTCACACACTAAGTGATTAAGGGTTGAACTGAGTTCTGAGCAGAGACATTTAACTCCATCTTGTCCAGACGCCCAGGAGAAGCCTGAAGGGCCTGTGTGGGCTCCTCGGGATTCATGTCAAGGCTACGAAGGGGCTCTCCTTGCATCAGCCTCTACCATGTAGCCCATGTAGGGGGAACGATTTGAGATGGCCAACTGCAGTTGAGGACCCTAGATCAGTCCTCTTTGGCATCTCCAGACTGTGTGTCCTTATAGAACCCACACAGGCCATCGGCCCTACTGCCCCGCTGTTCCCCAGGACCTGCAGCCCCAGAAGGCTTGTCCTGCTTGTCCTTGCATACCCTGCACCTCCTGCCCCTGCAACCAGGCTGCCCTCCTGAGGGCCAGCAGGGCAGCCAGGGGCAACCAGGACAGGAGCCTGGGTCTGCGGTGACTCATTGGCTGGTGCTTGGGAGGCCATGGTGAATTATTCACACAGATTCTGTGAATTATTCACGTTGTTATTATTTATTTTTCAGATACGCCTGCAGCAGAGCCTCCAGGCCCATGTTCAAAGGATGACATAACTCCTGACTCCTGATCCCCTCTGTCTGTGGAGAAGGAGCCCGGCCTCTCTCCAGCCTTGCTGGCGAGTCCCAGACCACAGGCTGAGGGCAGGGAGCTGCTGCCTTGGGACAGACTCCTGCAGAGCCCCTCCCTGGGCACCAGCTGCAGCAATAATGGTCCCCCCCTCGCTGGGGCTTCACTGTGTGCCAGCAGTAGGCTCAAGTGACTGTCACAACTGCCCAAGGGAACACACCACCAACCCCATTTTACAGATGAGGGAACTGAGGCTCACGTTGCATCCAACGTCCCTCATCAGGACCACCAGTTAGTAAATAGTCCACAGGTCCAACCTGTGGACTCTAAGGTCAGTGGCAGCCATGTTGCATATGTCAGTGGGCGGGCGTAGTGTTTGACAAGGTCCAACTGCACCCACCCCTCCACCCTCAGCTCCAAACCATGCTGAGAGGAGGCCACACCCAGGGACTCCAATGCTCTAGAGGAGGCATCTCTGCATCTCTATGGCAACAGGATCCTGAGCAGCCAGAGCTGAGGTTGGTTTGTCTCTGAGAGGCAGAGGTGGACTTTGCCCATAGAGGCCCCAGGTGTCCCAGGCTCTGAGCAAGTGTGACTCAGGGATCTCCCAGCACTCTCACCCAGTTCCCCCACCCCCAGACACAGCTCTACTCCTTCCTCCCAGAGCTCCCAGGAAGCAGCCACCCAGCCTCCCTTCCCCACTCCTCCTCTGGCTCCCTGCAGTCTAACCTCCATCCCTCTGGCTGCAGCTCAGATCCTTTTCCCTGGGGAATACCATCCCCCACCCTGGACACACACACAGTGCCATCTGGAGGAGGAGCAGTGGACTCAGCCCTGGGAAGACACCCTCCTGTCCTGGAGGGGCACCTTCCTCTTTTTGCCACCCCATTCACTCACTCCCTCATCCACTCATGAATACGTATTGGGTACTTACATTTGCCAAGCACTGTTCCAGAATCTAGGGCCCCTTGTCAGGGCCTGGGGATGGGGTGGGGGCAGCCCCTCCCCCAGGACCTGTCTTCCTGGACACAGGAAGTCAAATCACAGGCAAACTGGATGGGAGCCTGATCTTCCAGCCCCTGACTCTGGGTGACCTTGAGCTAGGAGTTCCCCCTCTGCACCTTTCCCTTTTTACAAGAAGGGAGTGGGGCAGGATCTGCTCTCCACAGCCCTGCCAGCCCGGCTTTACTCGGGTGTCAGTAACTCAATAACAGGAGCAACAGAATCATTTCCATCCCACAGCTGCAAAAGTCAGGCTCACACGTGCTCCAGCTCAGGTGGACTTAATAACTGTCCCTCTCTTCCCGGCTCCATGCATTTTAAAGGAGTCTGGGGATGGCTCTGCCACTAATGGTGGATTTCAGTTGCCAGAGAGGAAAGGAAGCAAGCTTTTGCACAATGCCTGTGCTCTCCTCACAAATGTTCTTTATTCATCTTTGCAGAGTTAGATCCCATTATCCCCATTTTACAGACAAGGAAACTGGGACTCAGCCCACATGGCTGGTAAACACCAGGGCTGGGATTTGAACCCAGGCCCACGGCAGCCCATGCTCTTGCAGCTACACAGATGGAGTGCGGCTCTTTCCAAAGCCTGTGTTGGAGCTGGGGGTGGGCAACCAGGTCAATACTTCTTTGAGGGAATCTTCTGGGTGCTGCAGATTTCCGCTTTCTCTGCCAACCAACTAAGGAGGGGCGGCCTTGGGCCCAGCTGTGCTGAGTCATTCAGGGCCTACAAAAGTCCAAGTTTGTTTATCCCAAAGCAGCCACCGCAGCGGGCAGCAGGGCAGGGACTGTGCCAGCTCTTTACTTCCAGGCACCTGGGCTTTGGGGCAAGGGGTAGGCAGGTGGGGCAGGACCACAGAATCTGACACAGGTGTGAGGGCAGGACAGGGCTGTCCTCTGACGCTGCAGCACCAACACCTCTGGCCCATTAATGACCTTGTAGGCAGGACACTGGTCTCTGCATGAGCCTGGCTTTTGCCCAGTGGTCCTAGAGTAAGTTAGTCTCTCAGTGTAATCCTTGGGCCACTAACATCTGAAAGGGCGGGGCTATTCATACAGCCAAGTCCATTTTCATGTTTTTCTGGACTTCCAGGATCTTCCAGGCAGATCTTGCAGGAATGTGCTTAACAGAAGCTGTTACTGAGCTCCCTCCAGCGCCCAGCCCCTGGGGCAACCCAGGGTGTGACTCCTGGGCTGTCAGGAGTTAGGGATCAGGCCCTTCACCTCTCTAGCCTCAGTTTTTCCATTTGTAAAACTGGGGGATGCCTATATCCTTCTCCTGGGTTGGGTGGAGGATGTGTATAAAGTGGTCTTATAAAGTGGTCATGATTCCAGTTCAGATGATCAGCCCTGCCCCACCCCAGCCAGGCCTGAGGCTATGGTCTGGAAGCAGAGAAGCTTTCCCAGGTTCTAGGCTCCTCAGATCTACAGTGTGCTGGTGGCAGTTTCTCCATAGAACTATCCTATAAAGCATGGTCATCTGTACCTGTTGGCCTTCTCAAGGCTCTGTAGAAAGCCAGCTCTCCAGACCTTCATCGTGGACAGACTGGGGCTTCCAAGGTCAGACCCAGGTTTCAGAACAGGCTGCCATGTGGTCTCTGGGGCAGAAGGTTCTGGAGAGAGTCAGGGCCTGGGCTGTGATCAGGACCCAGGTAGAGGTGGCACTCTCACTTAGGCAGAGCCTGAGGCCCTCTTGCCCCTGGCTGGGGGAAGTACTGTTGTGAATTCTTTTTTTTTTTTTTTTTTGAGAGAGAGAGAGAAGAATATATATTTATTTATTTATTTATTTATTTATTTATTTATTTATTTATTTTAGCTGGAGGATAGAACCCGGGCCGCACGCATGCCAGGCGAGTGCGCTACCACTTGAGCCACATCCCCAGCCCTGTTGTGAGTTCTTTTTACAGATGACAAACTAGAGGTGTAACCTTTGAGCTAAAGTCCTGGAGCTAGAAAGCGGAAAAGCTGGGATGGAACCCAGGCCTTCATGATTCCAAGGTTCAAGTCCAGCCTGGGGCACCACCTTCCTAAGTCATCCCTATCAAGATGATGATGTGCTGAGAAATGGGGCAGGGCCCGGCTCTGGGCTGGGCATTAGATATTCTTTCTCACTTAACCTTCACGACAACCCTCTGAAATAGAGACTATTATTTTTCTCCCCATCTTATAGGGAAGGAAATTGCCCCTCGGAAAGTCTAAGGCCCTAAGGTGACTTGTTTGCTCTTCACTATTATATCTGGGGTCTGGGGAAAGTGCCCCCCATTACCGATCTGCCATAGTTGCGCTTCATCTCTAAGTGCTACTACTCACCCATGTTAGCCTTCCATTTGAAGGTCCCCTTACTCTTCCTGTGCCCTCATCCTGGCCCCTCAGACCCGCAGCCAGGATTGCAGAGGTGGCCCCCACCCCAACTCCAGCAACTAACTGCCTTTAGCGCTGCCTGAGGCCCACTGGGAACCTGCCCCTAATTGCATCTCAGGCTGGGAGGCTATTAGCCCTGATTGCATCCCCAGTGTCTGCCTTGCCCCCTGGGTACATGCTCTCAGCTTCCACAGGGGTTTGAGATGACATCAATCTCCAATCCAAGGGCCTGGCCTGCTTGGCTCCCCAGTACTTCCTCCCATCCCCTCATCCCTATTCCAATGACCTCCTCTAGAGAGTCGGTCACCCACCATGGGGCGGCCAAGAGCACTGGCTTGGGAATGTCCCCAGCCAGTCATGTATAGTGTACCTACCTACCTCTGCTTCCACACCTCACAGGCCCAGCTGCTGTGGGACCCACACGGACCCTGTCCCCACCACGACCTCTGTGTTCCTCCACTCACTACCTCCTCCTCTTCTTTTCAGAGTGGGAAGACAAGCATCTGGGAGTTAGGAATCCTGAGTGCTTTTCTTCTCTGTGTGACCTTGGGCAAGTCCTTTCCACCATATGGAGACTGGCCTATTTTCTCTAATTCACTTTAGCAGACAAGGTTGCCATTTTGGTAATTCCTGGGATTTCCTTCCACTGATATCTAGAGTGCTAGGCACGCTGCCAAGGCTTGAGGAGTCTAGCAGGGCAAGTTGCTGCCCTCACAGTTACCACACAGAGCCATCAGGGAGAGCAGAGAGAAGCACAGGATGCCGTGGAGGGCGGGGAGGCCAGTATTGGCCCAGGGAACCTAGAAGAGAAGCTTTGTCTAGCTTGGAGGTGTGGTCTGAGAAAGCATCCTAGTTTCTGAGGCCTAAAGGTTGCGGAGGAATTTGTCACATAAATGAGGCTATGTGTGGGGCTGGACACAGAGACTGTTCCAAGCAGAGGGAGGAGCACTGGGAAATGGCCTTTGTGGGGGGGAGGGCATCAAGTGTAGAGGCTGGAGGCTGGACCAAGACCTTGTTGGAAGAGTTTGGACCTTATTCTGAGGGCATGTGTTTTAGTCAGCTTTTTCACAGCTGTGACCCAAAGATCTGATATGAACAATGTTAAGGAGAAAACATTTACTTGGGAGCTCATAGTTTCAGAGATCTCAGTCCATAGACAGTTGACTCCATTCCTTGGAGCCTGAGATGAGGTAGAACATGATGCCAAAAGTGGGCTGGGCACGTGGCTCAGTGGTAAAGCACTTGCCTAGCATGTGTGGGGCCCTGAGTTCAATTCCCAGCAGGGCCCTCACCCTCCCAAAATACCATGAGCATCATGGCAAAAGTGTGTGGTGGAGGAAAGCACCTGAGAACATGGCACCAGGAAGCAGAGAGAGACTACTTCACTCACAGGGACAAAATATATACCCCAAAGGCACGCGCCCAGTGACGAACCTCCTCCAGCCACTCCCCACCTGGCTACAGTGACGCCCAGTTCATCTCTAGCAGGGGGATTAACTCACTGATCAGGTTATCTCTTATAATCCACCTCTGTGTTGCACTGCCTCACACCTGAGCTTTCGGGGGACACCTCATATCTAAATCACTGCAACATGGAAGAGCTCTAGCAAGACTTGGAGCAAGGGGCTGGGGTTGTGGCTCAGCGGTAGAGCGCTTGCCTAGCACAGACAAGGCCCTGGGTTCGATCCTCAGCACCACAGAAAAATAAAATAAGTAAAATAAAGGTATTGTGTCCAACTACAACTGAAAAAAAGAACTTGGGGCAGGAGCATGATCCAGCTGCCATGTGGAGAAGGACTCGGCCAGGGGCCTGCAGGCAGGCTCCTGACGGTGGCTCCTTCCTCCCCCACACCTACCCCTGCCACACGCCTCCAGGTCCTCCTGCCATAGGACCTTCACACTGACCTTCTCCCCACCGCGGCCTCTGTTCCTCCACCAGCTACCTCCTCTTCATCTCTTCACACTCCTCCTGTCCCCATTAGAAAAGGAGGCAAGACTTTGCTTTTTCTTTTTCTTTCGCCCAAATTCCTCGGTTCCCCTCTCCCAAAGCCCACACACATACCCCCTAAGTCCTGCTGCAGATCCCCTGGTGGAAAGAAGGGCAGGAATGTCTGCAGGAGGTGACACAGCTATCTGCCCTAGGAGAGCTAGAAAGGAAGGGGTCTGGAGGGTCCCCACCTGGCTGAAGCTCCAGTAGGGAACTTACGCCCCTGTCACGCAGCACGCCACACCTCCTTCCCTCAGGGGTTAGTCCAGGTCTAAGCCACCAGACTGCAACTGCAAGTATCTCCAGTTTATCCGCTCCAGGGAGCCCTGGGGATCTTTTTCCCCTCCCCCACCTCCCCTTCCTCTCCTGGGTTCTCTCAAGTTCCCTGCCTCCATCACCCAGTGCTCATCATGGAGCCAGGAACATGTGTGTGTGGGGTGGGGTGGGGGGTGGGGTGCTGGGGTGTGTGGTGTGCGCCGGAAGTACAAGGGAGATGTGCCAGAGGGTGCCTCAAGGCTGGAAAGAGATTTCAGGAGGATTCAGAGATTAGAGAATTCAACTTCCTGCCAAGTCTCCCTGGAACCTAGAATGCTCGAATGCTCCTGGCCCCCACTGTAGAGAGTGCTCCGCTGGCCAGGCCAGAGCTGCATGGACCCCTGGGCTCCTGCTCCTGGCCCTGTCTCCAGCTCCCCAAGGCTTCCTAAAGCACATTCCCACACAGGGACCTGGAGCCCAGATATGCAGGGCCCCTTTCTCCCCTCAGCCACCTCCTAGGGGTAGGGTGCTCTAGCCAGACTCCAGCATCGTCACAGGGCACTTC